GGAAGATAGCCTCCTGTGCTCTCGGCCTGCGGGCTGCACCATGGCTGCCAACAGCGCGTCGCAAGCCCAGCGCTTCGCTACAAAAAGTTGGCGCTGCAACCCCGCTCAAACTTCTTTCAAAAGGTCGGCCCGCGTAGCGTAGAAGTTCACCTGGTTCGGGGCGAGGCCGAGCTTATTCATCTCGTTCACGACCTGCACTGCGAGGCGGAACGCATCCCCGAAGCCGATCCGACGGGGGCTCACCATGCCGATCTGGGCGCCCTTGACCTTGGCAATCGCGATGCACGGCCGACCAGCCTGGGGGCTGCCCGCGACCCTCACGACCTGGCCCTTCACGGTGATCTCTTCGACGGCCACGCGGCATACTGCCTTCGCGTCCATCGGCTGCAAGTTGATTTCCTTGATCGTGAACTTCGGGAACCCCTGGGCGAGCACGCATACTTTCCACTTCGTCGGGGCGCCATCCTCGTGAATCGGCCCGCCCACGACCTGGCACCCTTTCTCATTGTATTCGGGCTGATTCCGTAAGTCCATCATCACGGCGCACACGCCCACTTGAACCACGGGCGCGCCCGCTGCACCGCATCCCTGGCCGTCGGACTCGGCGTCGGGGTCGTCCACCTCCTCGTCGCCCGCGCACTCGTCCCCCTCCTCTTCGGACTCCTCGCCCTCGAGGTCGAATAGATCATCCGCGACGCCGTCGCTGTCATCGGGCGACTCGTCGTCGTCGCCCACGTCGGTCTTCTGTTTCTTGGGCATCGCGGGGGCAACAATGGCTGCGGATGGCCGCTTCATACACACCTTACTGGCTGTGCCCCTGCCGCGGCCTCCCTTCCCCTTGCCGCGCCCCCTCCCGCCGCCACTGCCCGCAGCACCACTGGCCGCAGCACCGCTGTCATTGTCGGCAGTGGCGTCATCGCTGCGCATGCCGCCCGTGTAGGGGAACTGGTAGGTGCTGCCGTCCAAGAAGTGAGCGACGTCCCCGTTCGACTGGGGCTCGAGGTGCGTGGCCATCTCTTGGGGCGCGAGCTGCTTCCCGTCGACCCCGCGAAGCTGGCGCCATGCCACGGTGCCTGTACATGTCTCCTGCGTGCCGTACGCGTACCCAACTCCACCCTCGCTCTCGTCATCAGACAGTTCCACTGGGCTCATGTCATCCGAGTCGACCAGCTCGTCGCAGTCGAAGATGTTGAAGATCTCCTCGCCCTGGAAGCGGTCCCACGATGCAGTTGCAGCCTGCGGGCGGCATAGGGGGCGGGGTCTGCGACTGAGCACGGGAGGCGGGAGATGACGCGGAGAAGCTTGGTGAGTAGGAGGGTGATGGTGATGATGATGAGGAGGAAGATGAGGAAGAGGAGGAGGTGGTGATAATAATGAAGATGATGATGGTGCTGGTTACGTGGGATGAAGATGTAGATGAAGGCGATGATGATGACGACGACGATGGTGATGACGATGCTGATGATGAAGAGGATGATGGCGACGACGATGGCGATGACGATAACGATGAGGACGATGGCGAAGACGATGCCGACGAGGGCAATTATGCTGATGATGATGAGGAGGATGCTGGTCAGGACGAGGAGGATGATGATGAGTATGATGATGATGGTGACGACGACGACGACGATGATGATGATGCTGATGATGATGTTGATGATGATGGTGCTGATGAGGATGATGATGATGATGCTGATGATGATGCTGATGATGATGATGATGGCGATGGCGATGACGATTGTGATGATGGTGATGATGGGGTTGAGGGTGCGGAATGGCATCAGCTGAGTGATGCGCGGGGGCGGAGGTGTTGAGCGAGAAATGATGGGGATGAGGAGGACGGATAATAATGATGAGGAGCTCGCTACGCACCGACCTACCTACTCACATACGTACCATCCGTTCTCATCCATCCGATTCACCTACTCACCGACCCATCATATTCCATCCCCTTACCTACTCACCTACATACTAGCCGTGCGCCTCCCTACATACTCATATACTCTCCTCCTCCTCCTCCTCCCCCCCTCCTCCTCCTCCTCCTCCTCCTCCTCCTCTTCCTCCTCCTCCTCCTCCTCCTCCTTCTCCTCCTCCTCCTCCTCCTCCTATTCCTCCTCCTCCTCCTCCTCCTCCTCGTGCCACCTGGACGTCGCGGCTGGAGCTCGGACCAGGCGGCGTTGCCGCCGACGGCGGTGCTGGCGTGCCCGATGCCGAGGGCACGTTCTGAGGTGGTTGCGGAACCGACGCCGATACTAGGGCTGTCGACGCTGCTGGCGGAGGCGGTGGCGTTGCAGTCGATGGCGCCGTCGGCGGCGAGGCTGGCAGCCCCGCAGGTACACTGGAAGCTGGGTTCACGAACGGTGTCATCCATGATTTCGAAGACTTCCTGTACCACTCCCTCCTGATGTGGTAGCACATGACCCGTAGGAGTTGTGCCTGCTCGTCCGCGAGTCGCCTTTTCTCCCTCGCCCTGTTCGGCAACACGCCGCCGAATTTGCCCTCCTTGATAACAAGCTGGATCCCTTTCGAAATCGAACTCCACCTGGCGTTGTGGCGGGGGCACGCTGCCTGCAGCGCCAGCAGCTTCGACGTGTACTTGATGATCGCCTCCTCGTCTGCTGGGTCATCCCACTGCGGGCCATACATCAACGAGCCATCACAGAATACCTGCGCAAGTGCTGGAACGAGGTCTTCAGGCTGGCCAACCCAGGTGGACCGATCGCCTGACATGTTGCTCGAGCCAGAATGGCTGCGGCTGGCAAAGGCAAACCGCGCACAAAACTTCAAGCACGCACCCGCAACCTTGCACATAAACCCTGGTGGACGCGTTCGGCGGCCTCGAGGCCGCATGCGACTGACACCCAATGGGCGCCGTGCCCAGGGACCGCGTTTTTCGTTTTTTTTTGTTTGTCTTGTGTGTGCGTGCGTGCGTGCGTGCGTGCGTGCGTGCGTGCGTGCGTGCGTGCGTGCGTGCGTGCGTGCGTGCGTGCGTGCGTGCGTGCGTGCGTGCGTGCGTGCGTGCGTGCGTGCGTGCGTGCGTGCGTGCGTGCGTGCGTGCGTGCGTGCGCGTGCGTGCGTGCGTGCGTGCGTGCGTGCGTGCGTGCGTGCGTGCGTGCGTGCGTGCGTGCGTGCGTGCGTGCGTGCGTGCGTGCGTGCGTGCGTGCGTGCGTGCGTGCGTGCGTGCGTGCGTGCGTGCGTGCGTGCGTGCGTGCGTGCGTGCGTGCGTGCGTGCGTGCGTGCGTGCGTGCGTGCGTGCGTGCGTGCGTGTGTGTGTGTGTGTGTGTGTGTGTGTGTGTGTGCGTGTTTTCCTTAAGGCTTGGCAGGAGTCGCCAACCCCTTTCAGGGCCACGGGCGTGCGAGACACGGCCGTTCACCCCAGTTGGGGCCATTGGCGTGCAAGGCTCCTTCGTGGCCGCATGTGCGCGACATGGGAACCGCCGACCCACGTGGGCCACGAGCGAATGAGTCGGGTCGCCGACCCTCGAGGGACCACTTGCGCGTGAATAGGTTGGGTCGCCGACCACTCGGGGGCCATCGGCGCGTACGTCGCCGACCTCATGTGGGCCATCGGCGCGTGAGTCACGAGTTGAAGTTCGCGCGCTAAAACCAACTTCCTTGTTTTTATACGAACCAAGAGCGCCTTTATTTTATGTGCAATTAGCTCCGTTCTTAAATTCATACAAAACAAGCACAGTCTTATTTTACATATAAATCTAAACGTTCCTTCATTTCCTACAAAGGACGCTGATTTTTCGGGGACAGAGAACAAGGAAAACAAGGAAAATAAAGAAAATACGGACAAGAAAAAACATAGTGCTGAAAAACAACACTCTTGAAGGTCAGGGAAATAAACAGGAACTGCTGTTGGGCATAGTACCCATTCTTTCAGTACCCATTTCGGGCGTCCAGAACGGTGTGGCCACCACCCCGTTTGGGGGCCCCCGGCTCTCGCTTCCCCACCCGCGGCGCGCCGCCGAGGCGTGCCGGAGGCCGCCGCTTGCTGCGCGCGGCGGCGGCCTTGGCTGGGCCCCATCCAGGGCCCGAGGATCGGCGCGCCCGCCCTCCCTTGATGGACCTGTTTTCCACCACCACCACCATAAGTTGGAGGGGGGAAGAAGGTGGAGGAGGAGGAGGAGGAGGAAGAGGAGAAGAGGAGGAGGAGGAGGAGGAGACCCTCCCCCTCCCACTCATGGTGGTGGTGGTGGGAAACAAACCCATCACTCCCTGGCTCGGGCACGCGGCAGCACGGGCTGCACGTCCGTGGATCTGGCACGCCGCGGCGGCAACTCGCGGGAGCCTCCCGGTACCGTCCCGTCGGCTCCTGCGAGTCGACGCTGTGGTCGACGCCAACTCGAGGCCCATCGACGCTGGATCGACGCTAGATCGACGCTAGCCGACGCCGAATCGGCGCTGTCTCATCGCCTGCCAGGCGCGAATCGACGCCAAAGGCGGAAGTGCGAGGGCATACAACACTCCCATGGTCTGCTGCCGAGCACGCCCGTGGGTCTGGCACGCGGGCGCGGGGGGGAAGCCATCCCCCAGAAGTCATGACGTACCAGTGCCGCCCCTCGGGCCCCGTTGCTGGTCCACTCGCCCGAATCCGTGCTTCCGCTTCCCCGAGCTTTTGGGCCGGGGCTTCACACCGTTCTCCCAGATTCTCCCCCGCGCCCTCGCCCGTCCACCGCGAGGGATGATCGGCGGGGAGCAAAGGGGGGGGAAGTGAGGAGGAGAAGGCCTGCTCAGACGGCGCTGGGACTCCTCGGAGGCCCTCCTTCCGAGGAGCTTCTTCTTTTTTTCGTCTGCCGGGGGCGGCTCGGCAGAAACACCTCCCAGAAATCCTGGGGGGGGGGGCTTCCGAGAACCTCCGGAGGAGGCTCTTTTCATCTCGCCTTCCTCCCCCTCGCTCGCCGCCGAGGACGAGGGAGAGGGGGGGGAGGGGCAGGCAGGGCGCGCTCGCGCCGTGTCTGGCATCCTGCCCCTCGCACCCCCCTGCCTTCCCACTGCGCTGACTTTTGTCCTACTTGTGGCATCCTGCCCCTCGCACCCCCCTCCTTCCCACTGCGCTGACTTTTGTGTGTGTGTGTGTGTCCTGCCTTTTCCCAGCGTGCGCGGGGAGCGCGTGGGACATCGAAGATCCTGGCAAGAGCAGGCACCAACTCTGAGATCAACCGCAGCACGGGTGCTCATCCCGAGCGTCCACAAAAAGGGGTACGAGGTGCCCTACCCGCGCAAGTTCGCACGTGGCGCTGAACCGGCGCACGTGATAAACTTGCGCATTTTCAAGGTGAGCATGGAGCTTCCAACACCTCGCCAAAACACTGCAGCATGATCCAGAGCAACTGCACCGTCGGCGCACCCTCCAAAAGTCAACAATAAGTGAAAAGTTTAGAGCTCACTGCCCGCGCCAGCTCAACCGGAGCGCTGAACGTATGCGGGTATTGAACTGACCATGATACTGCTCCTGATCCTCCTGCTGCCTCCAGAACCCTGGTGCAACAGTTGTATCGATAAGCCCCTAAATCCGCCAAGAGGCAGTACCCTCCAGGGTGGGCAGACTGAACGTCTGCAGGCCGCGTGATCAAACTCCGAAATGAAAGCTTGCGACTCTCGGTCGAGATGCCATACGCCGGCGCGTGAGCAGGAGAAACGCGCATGCCAATGAATAAAAAGAGGGGGTGCAGCACGACAGTGACGCAGAAAACCCAGCCGCACATGCATATCCGCCACCAGGCGAACAGAACAACTGCTCGCGTGGGGCGAAGCTGGTGGAGGCGTCTCGCACTGTTAGCTCAGACGCATGACTGCGGCATGCGGCTGGGCGGCAGCAAACGAAACGATGCGCCAAGGGGCAACTACAGAGGCTAAGCGGCACACAAAACGATGCGCCAAGGGGTAACTACTGAGGCTCGCCGTCGGGGGGGGGACCAACTCACGGGGAAACATCTAACTGGGATCGGCGATACATAGCGGATAGATCGGCGATCGAATCCCGACAGAACATCCGCGCGCTCCTGGGCGGGGTGTGGGCTGTCGGGCCTCCATCGGCGATGAGTGGGCGATTGGGGGGTCGATGCAACCCCCTTCAGCCCATCCCCGTGCCTGGTGGTTTTCGGGTCATAGCTCGGCTTTCAGGCGGCCGTTCGGGACGATTCTGGTACCCCCAGCACGCTCTCGGTGAGGCGCCGCTCCTGGGAGGCAGCCTGGAGCCCGACGACCGCCGAGCACCGACGAGAGCGCCCGAACACCTCGAGCCTCGAGCATCGAAGCCGAGACTTCCTTGGGCTCCATCGATCCCTTCACCCCCCCTTTGAGCCCATGCCCCCACTTTTGATGCGATGCGGTACGACCACCGTTGCGGACAGCGTCAGGGCCTAGAGCAGACCAGGTGGGAGAGGCCATGGCATCTAGGATCTGAGGTGTCTGGATACATGCGATGCGAATCAAATAAAATTAGCCTGGCGAAGGACCCAACCATATGCAGCTGCGAGTACCGCACGGATATGAGACGAAGGAGGGGGCACGCAAACTAGGCCCCTCTTCTCATAGGCACCGCGCCACTGGGGCCTTCGGTGGAGCTCCCTATGGGGCCACGAAACGTGTGAAGGGTGTGCCGAAATGGGTGGTGGGGAGGCATGCGGACCCTGCCACTGGGGCCTTCGGTGGAGCTCCCTATGGGGCCACGAAACGTGTGAGGGGTGTGCCGAAATGGGTGGTGGGGAGGCATGCGAACGCAGCCACTGGGGCCTTCGGTGGAGCTCCCTATGGGGCCACGAAACGTGTGAGGGGTGTGCCGAAATGGGTGGTGGGGAGGCATGCGGAGCCACTGGGGCCTTCGGTGGAGCTCCCTATGGGGCCACGAAGCGTATGAGGGGTGTGCCGAAATGGGTTGTGGGGAGGCATGCGAACGCAGCCACTGGGGCCTTCGGTGGAGCTCCCTATGGGGCCACGAAACGTGTGAGGGGTGTGCCGAAATGGGTGGTGGGAGGCATGCGAACGCTGCCACTGGGGCCTTCGGTGGAGCTCCCTATGGGGCCACGAAACGTGTGAGGGGTGTGCCGAAATGGGTGGTGGGGAGGCATGCGAACGCAGCCACTGGGGCCTTCGGTGGAGCTCCCTATGGGGCCACGAAACGTGTGAGGGGTGTGCCGTGTGCCACTGGGGTGGTGGCATGTGCCGTGGTGGGGAGGCATGCCACTGGGGCCTTCGGTGGAGCTCCCTATGGGGCCACGAAACGTGTGAGGGGTGTGCCGAAATGGGTGGTGGGAGGCATGCGAACCCTGCCACTGGGGCCTTCGGTGGAGCTCCCTATGGGGCCACGAAACGTGTGAGGGGTGTGCCGAAATGGGTGGTGCATGCGAAGCCACTGGGGCCTTCGGTGGAGCTCCCTATGGGGCCACGAAACGTGTGAGGGGTGTGCCGAAATGGGTGTGGGGGGTCATGCGGCCACTGGGGCCTTCGGTGGAGCTCCCTATGGGGCCACGAAACGTGTGAGGGGTGTGCCGAAATGGGTGGTGGGGAGGCATGCGAACGCAGCCACTGGGGCCTTCGGTGGAGCTCCCTATGGGGCCACGAAACGTGTGAGGGGTGTGCCGAAATGGGTGGTGGGGAGGCATGCGAACGCAGCCACTGGGGCCTTCGGTGGAGCTCCCTATGGGGCCACGAAACGTGTGAGGGGTGTGCCGAAATGGGTGGTGGGGAGGCATGCGAACGCAGCCACTGGGGCCTTCGGTGGAGCTCCCTATGGGGCCACGAAACGTGTGAGGGGTGTGCCGAAATGGGTGGTGGGGAGGCATGCGAACGCAGGAGGGAGGAGGGCGAGGAGAAGGAGGAGGAGGAGGAGGAGAAGGAGGAACGCGGGGACCGTTTTTTCAAAACGAGGACCCAACACCACAGGATGGTTGGGAAAAAAATCGGAAGTGAGGGGGACGAACCGTCCCGGCAATCCTGTAGGCCTACCACGACATGTTCTTAGAACCCAAGTGTTCTCATAACAGAAACACAATGTTCTTAGACCATAAAACCAAAGGTGTTAAAACAAGACAGTCCCAGCCAGAACTGTTCTGACAATCTTTCTTGGAAACCGCAAGAAAGGTTCTTAGAACATGGTCTGGTAGGCGTATAGGAACGCCAGGACGCTTCGCCACTGCTTGACTGTTTCGGGTGCGCGCGAACATGGATCGTGGGACGTGCCCTCCCCAGAGTGCGGCCGGTATCGCCTCGCTCGGCGGCGGAAACCCGCGACTTCCCATGCAAGCGGGACCCGTCGCTAATCCACGCCCCCCAATCCATGTTTTTTTTCCCTTGGGGGGGGCTTAGGGGGCGGATCCTGAAAATGTGACAGCACAGACGAAGCCAGCGCGGCAACTCGACTGTCGGCTGGGCCCTCACGCAGAAGCCGAAGGTAGTTGAGAATATTGCACCAGCATGCGGACAGACGCCCCCCCAAATCCATGCTTGCGCTCGCCCGACCTCCGCTGCAGGAGGACTGCTGGCGGCTGCTCGGGCCGCCGTGGCGGGCTGCTGCTGGCGGGTGCTCAGGCCGCTGCTGCTCAGGCCGCTACACCCTGCGAAATGCTTAAGAAATCATGGGTTAAGAAATTCACAGTCTCAGAACTTGAATAAAAACCCACAACTTCCATTCAGATCTTAGGATTTGCATTGAAACATTAAGAATGATCGAGACTCTGGCCGAAAATTCAAGTTTTCTTAAGCATCGCCTAAGTAGGGTGTACTCCGAAAATCGTCGGCTGGCTGCTGCTCAGGCCGCCGCGGCGTGCGCGGCGTGCGCGGCGCCGCCCTGCGGGCACGGCGGCGGGCCTCCCGGGCTGGGGCGGCGCGGCGGGGCCTCCGGCCTCTCGGGCGCCCCAAAAAAGCGAGCAGGGGGGCCTCTCGGGGGAGGCAGGGGCAGAGCAGGACGCGGCATATCTCCTCCTCCTCCTCCTCCTCCTCCTCCTCCTCCTCCTCCTCCTCCTCCTTCCCTCCTCCTCCTCCCCTCCTCCTCCCTCGTCCACCTCCTGCACCCCTTCCTCCTCCTCCTGCCACTCCTCCTCCTCCCCCCTGCACCTCCCCCCCTCCTTTTTCCTCTTCGTCGCTATTTCAGGGTCGGCGGCACCGGCCGTTTAAAGCCTTCGCAAGAAAGACGCGGATTCCTGGATTTTCCCCACGAGTTGCCCCACATGCCCACATGCGCTGGATGTTCATCTCCCCCTCCACTTCCCATGTCTTCCATATCTCGTCGTGGGCATCGGCGCCTGTTTGTCTGCGTCTATCATTCCACCCTGAGATGTGAATGCGGCAAGAGCGGGCACGATGCCCAACACCACAGCGTTGGTCCCAAACTGGCAGCGGCGGCTGTGGGGCAGGCGCGGTCTAAAAGCGGGTCCTGTTCAAAAAGTGGACAAGAACGGTTGTCGGTCTTAGTTCCCAGTCCTCCCGCACCAATTGGGGAAACCAGAAGGTGCCGATTCCGCTGCTCCCTGGACCTCTCCCGCGGTGCGTTCGGACCAGGGTTCCGAGGCGAACCTGGCGGTGGCGGCGAGGGCCTCCCAGGAGGCCCAAAAAGGCGAAAACGACGGGAGGGCAGCGATCCTTGCCCCTGATTCCCAGACCCTCGACGTCAGGATTTTTCATAGCGCCGACCCCCAGAGGTCTCGACCCCTTCCCTGGGACCGTCAACCTGAGTCCTTTTTTCCCTGTCTGGGGGTCAGTGATGGCCTCCGGAGGACTGATAATAGCGACGAGTGCCTCCCAGGAGGCCTCCAAAGGCGAAACCGACAAAGGGTGGCAGTATCTGTACCTTCTCCCTTCCTCGGACCAATTTCGATCGTCCCGAGAAGCTCGACCCCTTCCTCCGATCCCCAGAGGTCTCGACCCCTCCCCCGGAACCCGCTTTTCATCCTGAGTCGTTTCTGTCACGGTCCCGGGGCCAGTGAGGGCCTCCAGAGGCCTGAAAGTCGCGACGGGTGCCCCCGAGGCCCCAACAGGCGAAACCGACGGAGGTATCGTCAGGTCGGGCATGTCCCCCCAACTGGCGGATGTTGGGCGAAAAACAATACATATGCGAACGATGCTCACACACAGCCAAAAAGAATGCTCAACACATCGCCCCTGGAAGATTTGTTGGGCTCTTTTTGCACATTCCAGCTTGTAGAGGGACACGCCCGGCTTCAGTTGAGCAGGGACCGACGGTCCCGGCGTTCCTATAGGCCTACCACGAAATTTTCTTAGAACCCACAAATCTCCGAACAACACAAATAATGCTCTTAGAACATATTCTCGACGATTTCGAACAAGACAGTCCGAGCCAGAAGCGTTCAAAGAACATTTCGTGGAAACCACAGAACAGATTTTTCTAACATTGTTTGGTAGGCCTATGGGCACGCCAGAACGCTTCGCCTCTGCTTGATTCGGTCCCTGTCTCCCTCCTCTGACCGATCTCGGTCGCCCCGAGACTCGAGCGGGGCGCGCGCGCGACGACGGCCTGGCCGCCTGGGCGTGTTCGGCGGCGGGCTCTGCGGCGGGCTCCGACGCCGCCGCGGGCGCGCCCTCGGCGGCCGCGGGGCCTCCGCTGGGCCGTCGCGCGCGGAGCGCCAGCACCGCCGCCCCCGCCCAGCTCGTCGTCTCGCCGGCGGAGGCCACCCGTGGCGCCTGGAGGGGCTCGAACTCTCCTCCTCCTCCTCCTCCTCCTCCTCCTCCTCCTCCTCCTCCCCTCCTCCTCCTCCTCTCCTCCTCCTCCTCCTCCTCCTCCTCCTCCTCTCCTCCTCCTCCTCCTCCTCCTCTCCTTCCTCCTCCTTCCTCCTCCTCCTCCTCCTCCTCCTCCTCCTCCTCCTCCTCCCCTCCTCCCCCTTTCCCCTCCTCCCTCCTCCTCTCCTCCTCCTCCCTCCGCCTCCTCCTCCTCCTCCTCCTCCTCCTCCTCCTCCTCCTCCTCCTCCTCCTCCTCCTCCTCCTCCTCCTCCTCCTCTCCTCCTCCTCCTCCTCCTCCTCCTCCTCCTCCTCCTCTCCGCCTCCGCCTCCGCCTCCGCCTCCTCCTCCGCCTCCCCGCACTCCTTCCTCCTCCTCCGCCTCCTCTCCTCCTCCTCCCTCCTCCCTCTCCTCCTCCGCCCCTCCTCCTCCCTCCTCCCTCCTCCCCTCCTCCTCCCTCCCTCCCCCTCCTCCCTCCTCCCTCCCTCCTCCTCCCTCCCCCTCCCTCCTCCCTCCTCCCTCCTCCCTCCCTCCCTCCTCCTCCCCTCCTCCCTCCTCCTCCTCCTCCTCTCTCCTCCTCCTCCTCCTCCTCCTCCTCCTCCGCCTCCGCCTCCGCCTCCGCCTCCGCCTCCGCCTCCGCTCCGCCTCCGCCTCATCCTCCCTTCCCCCTTCCTCCCTTCCTCCCTTCCTCCCTTCCTCCCTTCCTCCCTTCCTCCTCCTCCTCCTTCTCCTCCTCCTCCTCCTCTTCTTCCTCGTCTCGTCCTCGTCCCTCGTCCTCGTCCTCGTCCTCTTCCTCGTCCTCGTTCCTCCTCCTCCTCCTCCTCCTCCTCCTCCTCCTCCTCCTCCTCCTCCTCCTCCTCCTCCTCCTCCTCCTCCTCCTCTCCTCCTCCTCCTCCTCCTCCTCCTCCTCCTCCTCTCTTCCCCCTCCTTCCTTCCCTCTTTTTTCCTCCTCCTCCTCCTCCTCCTCTCCTCCTCCTCCCTCCCTCCCTCCCTCCCGCCCTCCCTCCCTCCCTCCCTCCCTCCCTCCTCCCTCCTCCCACCTCCCCAAGGGGAAAAAAAAAGAGGATGAGCGCGCCTGGCGGTGAAGCCGTCGATGTCGGGCCGCCGACGCCGACGACGACGGCGACGACGAGAAACGACGACGACCACATCCGCCAGGCCGCCTCAGCCTAGAAGGTGTGTGAGGGGCTCGTTCCTCCCGAAGCTGGCCCCTGATCTGGGGTCGACGCCCCTCCTCGGCTCCTTCAAGCTGACGGAGGCCCCGTTATTTCTGGGGCCTCCGTTGCACGGCCCCGAAAGAAACTGGGATCTCTGAGCCCAGAAAGCCCCGCACCGTGTGCGCCGCCCGAGCCTGCCACCGCCTATGCACAGGGAGTGGGACTGGTGGGCCATCCTCGCGATCCGCGGGGGCCCTGAGCACACGGATTTACATATGCCTATCCTACTGCCAGACTCTCCGCACAACACACAGACACATTTCCCTTTGGGACCGAGGCGGTTCAGTCAGTGACCAAGCGCACCTGGCACCAGCTCGAGACGACAGGGACGTCCATTTATCCTCGCTCGGACCCGCTCGACATCTGGAAGCCCGAGCTTAGAAAGATGCCCCATCATCTCATGGATAAGGCACGCGCCCTAGCCCACCAACCGCTCCTGTTCGGCATACCGCCGACGCACATCAAGGCTGTAGGGCTGCAACTCTGCTCCCAGTCCGGACAATCTGTCAGCCTCCCGGTTGCCCGCCCGCACCCAAAAGCGGACCCAGCGGTCCAAGGCCTGGCCCCGAGAAAGATGATGTTTGACCTTGTTGACCGAACTATTGTGCATCCCCACGTCCCTCGCCTTGGCAAAAATGTCGCACCAGATTTCAGCAAAGGCCACATTGGTGAGATCCTGGTCGGCTCCCATGGCCCACGCGTCGAGGACCATTTCACTGTCCGTGGCAAACTCCGAGGGTCCTGGTCCCAGGCGCCAGCGAGCCATGATGAAAGCGTGCAACTCCCCCCCTCCCACCCATTGGAGCGGGTGGGGGGGAGGTGACCATACAGGGACCCAACCACATTCCCCCCTTCGTCCACAGCGACCGCCCCCCAGCCCGCGTCAGGGTCCACCGCGGACCGGTCCAAACACATCTTGCCAGTGTCGAGGGTGCCAGATGGGGGGGTGGACCATCCACGTGAACCCAGCATCGACTCGGGGGGTCGGCCGAATCCACTCAGGGGTTGGAAAGAGGGCCCTCGTGGCCCCTGGGTCATACTCTCCTCGGGTCCTCCCAAGCTCCAGGAAATCTCCAAGATCTGGGTTTTCCCGCACGAGCTTGCTGCCGTCGCAGCCAAACAATCTGTGCTTTGGCGTGCCAGTGAGGACTCCACACCACCTGCAGAAAAAGGGCTGAGGACGCGGCGGCCCTCAAAAAAACAGTGCTGCGTGGCATAGCCTCCTGACACTCCAGCGACCAACGCGGCTTCCATCCCTCGGCCAGACGCTCTGAGAGACTGGAGCTTCTTGACAATCGGCTGGAAGAGAGGCCCAGCAGAAAGCCCGTCAACCTTGCTAGAGATGCTGCCGACCAACCCCCTCTTGGTGTCCTTCTGAATCAAATGCTTAAGGGTCCTCTTGCCCAGGGTCCCAGGGTTGACCGTGAAACCGCGGCAAGTGACCCAATCGCGATAACTTCGAACCGTCCAGCCGAGGCGACGAAGAGTGCACAAAACCGCACCAGCGGGTCCCGTCACCTGATCCCAGACGAACCCCAAGGTGTGGACAAAAGCATCGAAATTCTTCTTCATCTGAGCCGCTGGGGCCCAGTCACCGTGAAGGGCCAAACTCCACATCAAGAGGGGCGCGGTGTTAGCCGCAAAGGTGGGGTCGGCTTTGGGCCCCCCCCCCCTAACTGGAATTCCAACGTCTTCGAGCGCCCTTTGGGGGGTCCAACAACCGATTGTCCCAACACGGATCGGAGCTCCTTGAGACGGGCATCCGCGATGCCAACGACGCCTCCACCGTACATCGCCGCGGGTAGGCCTCCCGTGTTGACCACGCGGGTGGCCCCACGGAAGGACGACCGCAGCCCGCGGAAACGCTGGACTCTCGGCATCAGCGCAGCGATCCCCTTTTTCTGCACCCCCGCAGACCGTCGCCGCTTCTTGAGCGAAACATCAACCCCGAGGTTTTTCGTGGCCGACACCAGCGTGAAACCCCCAAGACCTGATGTGTTTTACCACTTCAGCTTCAACTGCTCCGTCCGTGGAAATGGCCACCCCCTTGCCCCTGGAGATCACAAGGAAAAGGCCCTGGAGCTGGGAGAGGAGGGGGAGGAGGAGGAGAAGGAGGAGGAGGAGGAGGAGGAGGAGGAGGAGGAGGAAGAAGAGGAGGAGGAGGAGGAGGAGGACGTGGAGGAGGAGGAGGAGGAGGAGGAGGAGGAGGAGGAGGAGGAGGAGGAAGAGGGAAGAGGAGGAAGAGGAGAAGGAGAGGAGGAGGAGGAGGAGGAGGTGGAGGAGGAGGAGGAGGATCAACAAGGCAAAGCAGCGCGGGACCGAAGAACACACCAGACACCAAGTCTGGCCTGGTTGGCCAGGGAATTCGTGGTTACATGGACGCACGCCCCAGCAGCACTCAGGCTGTGGGACTAGAAGCCTCCTGGATGGGGTCCGAATCGATGGGGCCGGGGGATTGCACCGCATCGCCGGCGATGCGCCAGCGACGTCGGCAATGCATCGCATGCATCGGTGACGCCGGCGTGGAGAAATTCAAAAGTCCACATCGAGCCACATCGCCGATGCATCGGCTATGCGGCGCGATCATCCGACCCCATCTGCTCGGAACCCCCTGGGAGGTCTAGAGGGACGCTGGAGCGCCCGTACACCCAAGCTTCTTCGCCGACTTAGAGGGCCTCCCTGGCCGGCCACACGGCACGGTGTGTACAGTGCGGGCGCTGCCGCTGGGCTTCTTCGATGGGTAAAAAAAAAAAAGTGTACAGTGCGGGCGCGGCCGCAAGAAGCCCTTGCAAGAAAACCCAGCCCGCGCGCGAGGGGAAACCTGGAGCACCCTGAACGCAGCAGATTCTTCAACGGCTGCGGCAGGTCACCGCCCAGCGCGCGGGGCGAAGGAACCCAGGGTACCCTGACGACAAGCACACGACTTCGTGATGCGCGCCCCCACTGCACATCGAGTCCCTCCCAGGCGCCGTCTCGGGGCAAAGCGGCGCCACCGCCCCCTCGGGCTCGGCTGCGGGCGCTGGCCCGAGACCGCCGCGCTGCTCCTCTGTGAGCCGGGAGCGGATCTGCACGACGCGCAGCTTGCGGTCGAAGAAGGATGCGGCGGGCGGCTGGTGCTGGGGCTGCGCCGTGCTCGCGCCCAGCTCGCGGCTGCGCAGGAGAGCCACGTTGCGCGCCAGCGACGACATCCTGCCCAAGAGATGTGCCAGCCGAGTGCACGGGGAGGGGGCGGCTCGAGCTCGCGTGGCTGCGGAGAGAAAGCCCCGGGGGCCTGCCAGGAAGACCTGCCCCCTCTCCGCGAACACGACTCTCGTGTGCACTATCCCCGCAAACCGGCTGGGCCAGCACAAGACCGTGGAGAGCAGGCCGTGTACAAAATGAACCTGGCGCGACCCCAAGCAGGGGATTCCTTTCAAAGATGAGCCCGAGGAGCCCGGAAAACCAGGGGAACCCAGGGGACCAGGGAAACCCAGGGCACCCGAAGGGGTTCGAACCGGTAGTGACCCCCCCCGGTTTTCGATGGGGAGGGGAGGGGGGGGGGGAGGGGTTCGGGGAGGGGGGTTTTGCCGGGGGAGGGGGAGGGGGGGGTCCAGCAGGGGGGGGGGGGGGGGGATTTTTCGGAGTTGGGGGGGGGGGGCGACCCCCGGGTTCCGGAGGAAAAGGTTGGCAAGTTTCTACAGTAAAGCGGCGGTGGATCACGCTCTCTCCATCATCAGCATCGGCATCGCCATCGTAATCCTCATCGACATCATCAGAATCATCATCATCATAATCATCATCATCATCATCATCATCATCATCATCATCATCATCATCAGCATCAGCATCAGCATCAGCATCAGCATCAGCATCATCATCATCATCAGCATCATCATCATCATCATCGTCGTCGTCGTCGGCATCATCATCATCATCATCATCATCATCATCATCATCATCATCATCAGCATCACAATCATCATCATATTCAGCATCATCAGAATCATCAGCATCATCATCGTCATCATGAGCATCATCATCGTCATCTGCATCATCATCGTCGCCAGCAGCAGCAGCAGCATCAGCATCATCATCAGCAGCAGCATAATTACCAGCAGCAGCAGAACCATCATCATCATCAGCAGCAGCATCATCAGCAGTGTCGTCGTCGCCATCGTCATCATCATAATCAGCATCAGCATCATCAGCAGCATCATCATCATCTGCAGCATCGGCGTCGTCAATAGCATCATCAGCATCATCCGCATCATCATCATCATCATCATCATCATCATCATCATCATCATCAGCATCATCATCGTCAAGAGCTTCATCATCGGCGTCATCATCATCAGCAGCATCATCAGCATCGTCATCGTCATCCTCATTATCAGCATCGTCATTATGCCCGTCAGCATCAGCATTGTCGTCGTCGCCTTCATCATCACATCATCATCATCATCATCTTCATCATCAGCATCTTGCTCAGCAGCATCGTCATCATCATCATCATCATCATCATCATCATCAGCATCATCATCATCAGCATCACCACCATCATCATCAGCTGCATCATCATCAGCATCGGCATCATCATCAGCATCATCGTCATCCTCATCATCATCATCATCATCATCACCATCAGCATCCTCATCAGCATCATCAGCATCATCGCCAGCTTCAGTATAACGTCATCATCACTAATGTCATCATGAACAGCAGCATCATCACCAGCATCATCATCATCGTCACATCATCGTCAGCAGCAGCATCATCGTTATCAGCATTATCATTACGACTGTTATCAGCATGGTGACCATCATCATCATCATCATCATCATCATCATCATCATCTAGCACCAGTACCTTTATCAACATCACCATCATCATCAGTGTCGTCGTCGCCGTCACCATCATTAGGATAATCATCTCCATCCTCATCATCATCATCATCACCATCATCACTGTCGTCGTCGCCGTCGCCATCAGAATCACCATCATCATCATCAGCATCATCATAAGGATCGTCATCACCAGCATAATCACCGTCACCGTCTTCGTCGTCATCGTCATCGTCTTTAGCATTGTTATTAGCATGGTAATCATGCATCATCAGCATAATCATCAGTATCAGCATCGTCATCATCATCGTCGTCATCATCATTATCATCCCCATCATCCTCATCCTCATCCTCATCCTCAGTATCCTCTCCCTCCTCGTCCTCCCCCTCCGCCTCATCTTTCATCTCCCAGTCCCCCTCATCTTCCTCCTCCTCATCCTCCACCAGCTCCCTCGCCCTCCTCTTCAGACGCAGTCTCTCCCCTGCGAGTGTGGGAGCGAGGGCTGGCGCATCACACGATACTCAGCTGCGAGCGAACACCCACCTATTACCAGCCTGGAACATATCCCTATCCCTATGCTGGGCACCTCCTCATCACGATGGCAATCTTAGGGATTCCCTTATTTTTTGAGGGCGGGCCCCTAAGATTGTCATCACCTTTTGGCGTGTCAATCTTAGGGATAGGGATACGTTCGAGGCTGGTAAACCTACACACACACGCACTGTTTGGCGTCGCGGCCACGCGCGCGGCGGACGGCGTAGAACAGAGAGAGAGGTCGAGCGAGCGCACCGGCCCAGCTCACGCAGCGAGGCGAAGCTTGATAGCTCGAACCACCCATGGGGGATCGACGGGGACACCCGCGGCGGGGGGAACGCGAGGGGGCAGAAGGGAGAAAGGGCAGAGAGGAGAGGGGAAGAGAGGAAGACGAGCCAGCACGACCGTGCCAGGCCGAAGCAGCAAGGGAGGCGCAGCGGAGAGACGGCAACGGCAGCCAACCATGACGGAGGACAAAGACAGCGCAGGAACATGATCCAACCAGTAGTCCGAGGGAGAAACGGCAAGCGAGCAAGCGGCCCGCGTGCAGACAGGGGCAACGCAGTGGCGCCAGAGGTGGGCTGCGGCAGCAGGACGGTACTGGCTGAACCCACAGGGAGTACCCAGCTCGCGTCTCACACACATAACACAACACACTCACACAATCTCACACAGACTTGAGCAGGGACCCACCGTCCCGGCATTCCCTACAGGCCTACCACGACATGTTCTTAGAACCCCAAGATGCTCTTAAAACAAAAACAGTGCTCTTAGCTTATAATATTGATGTGCTAAACCAGGACAGATTCAGCCAGAAATATTCGAAGAAGATGTCGTGCAAACCACAAAAGGTTATTAGGACATTATTTGGTGGGCCTATAGGCGAGCCAGGACGCTTTGCTACTGCTTGACACACACACATACACACGTTGTACGTCCGCGGGCGCCAGGGTGTGCGAAACGGTCAGGCGCCGGTCAAAGCGAGCGGTGGGCTGCACGAGAAGCTAATCCAGGCACAAAGCGGAAGATAAAGAGACGTTGGCATCGCCGCAGCTGCCACCACCACAACAGCCACCACCACCGCCATCATCATCATAATCATCATCATCACAATCCATCATCATCAGCAGCAGCAGTATCATCACCACCACCGCCACCGCCATCGTCATCATCCTCAGCATTGCCCCCGTAATCAACAACAGCCTCATCGACGTCATCATCAGCATCATCATCAGCATCATCATCTTCATCGACATCGTCATCATCGTATCATCGTCACCACCATCATTACCACTGTCATAGTCAGCATCAGCAGCATCATCAGATCATCATGCACATCGTCATCATGATCATCATCGCCAGCATCACAACTTCACCATCAGTATATAATCAGCATCGACAGCAGCAACATAATCAACATAATCGTCAGCATCGTCTGCAGCAGCATCACCACCAGCACTGGGGCATGTGACTGAACAAGTGGCTTTGATATCACCAAGTTTGCCCTGTTGCCACACGGTGTACCCAAATGCTCTGTCTTGTCTATGAATACGAATGATGAGTGTCAGGCGTGTCTCCAGCGTTAACCAGACATGCTCGCTTCCACCTCCAAACTCCCCAGAAACATCGCTTACTCTAAGGAGCTCCTACTTCTAAAAAAAGGAACTGGCTGGGAATCAAGGGTTCGCGCCTGGTGGGCGAACGTGACCGCCTCGAGGGCACCTCGTGCCGGCTGGAAGCTCTGGGCTTGTGCCGGGTGGGCGCAGATGGGCGCCTCGAGGGCGCCTCGTGTTAACTGGGAGCTCCAGGCTGCGGCAAAATGTTGGGCCATGTGCTGACTCCCCGCGATCACGTTGGCCCGATGGTCAACGTTTTCTTATTTGGCGTTTCGACATTGGGCGGAAGGGGATCCGGCTCCAGACCTCTGCTTGATGAGACTGCTTGCAACGGTGCGTCCTATGGGGGAGACTCCGCCTGTCTGAGACAGGCGCCAAAAACAGCCAAGATCCACGTCATGGGGGGGGAGGGGGGGTACGAAGGCCCGCGCCGATCGGCAGATCCATGAATAAGAAGACGATCACACGCACACAGGCCCGACGCGTGCATGCCCGCCACGCCGGTCGAGAAGCCATGCACACAGTGCCTGCGGGCGCCCGTGCCTCACACCACGATCACCACCCCGCCGACGCAATCTGCATCGGCTTCTTGACAGGGCTGGCGACCGGGGGTCGAAGCGTTTTCCGTTGCGTGCTGTTGCGTCAACCGCGCGCCATCGCTCGGACGTCTACTCCCCGTGCATCGTTACATTGTCGTGCGTGTGCTCTTCGCAAGGTGATCTCGGATGCTCCTCGACGGTCCACGCCGAGGAAGAAATGCACACCTCCAGGCGACGCCAAGCCACTGGCGCACCTGGCCTTGGATGCCCCGATACGCAACACGCGACACGTAGCGTATTGACACGAAGCTCAACACGCAGACTGAGCACGCAGGCCTGACGCGACACATCCGCCAGAACGCGGTCCAATTCGCCGAGCCAACACGCAGCGTCTTCACACGGACACTTTGAACACGGCGCGTGCTGCGTCTCGAAACGGGCGCCTCCGGGCAGCTACGCACCCGGCACACTCTGCGCGCTTCGCGCACCCCGGCGCGGCGGGCTCGCCTGCCCTGACCTTCCAAAGAGCTATTTTTTAGCACGGGAGGCCCAAAAACCTGAAAAACGAAACGACACAGCCCAAAACCCAGACATAGAATAGCTCTGGGATAGGTTTTTAAGTCACGCGCTATTTTTTAGCCCTCCTGGAAGGTCAGGGTGAACACCCGGCGCAGCTGGCGCACCGGGCGGGCGCGCTGGGCCTCGTGCGCTGGGCGCGCGCGCGGCGCGCCTGCGCCGGCGCCACGCGCAGGGCGTCCGCACGGGCAGCCAGCGGCTGCTCCATCCCTTCGCGACCGCTTGTCCACTTTGCGTGCTTCCTGCTTGTGCACCGTCTGGCGCTAGCTCTCCCACTCCCCCTCCTCCTCCTCCTCCGCCTCCTCCTCCTCCTCCTCCTCCTTCTCTGAGTCACCATAGCGTGACCGGCGCCACGCCTATTTGACGTTTCACTTTGCTCACGCACCAGCCGGTGCAAGGCTTACTTCGCTTGAATGCGCTGAGGCTCGGGTGCTGCTGGGGGCGGGCTGGAGTGAGCGAGACGGCCTGCGGCTCGTCGGCGGCTCGGGCCTTTCACCTGTTCCCTCCCCTGGGCCTGGACGGGAGTGGGACGGGGTGTTTAGAGCATCCAAGATGCACAAGGTGGCTCCAAGGTGGCCCAAGATAGCCTGAGATGGCATCCACGATTATCTTAGATATCCCGAAACAGCTGAAAAGAGCATCAAGAATGTCTCCAGGCCCTACGACCGCCTCAACACAACGCCCCTCGAGAGGCGAAACTCAGTCCAAGCTCAGATAATTAATGATGGTAGGCGTTCAAGGCCCCAAAAAGTTTCGAAGACCGCCCAAGAGGGTCCCGTAAGGGCTCCGAGACGGCCGCAAGAGCACCCAACAGCGCCTCGAAAAACCCAAGAGCCGATTTGTCGGGCCCAAGAGGGGCAACCATGATCCGCGCAGCCCACTCCAAGATGGCCCCAAGAGAGCCCGAAGGGCCCGCGAGAGGGGGATGCCTTCCCCATCGGTCTCCGTATCCTCATCCTCCTCCTCCTCCTCCTCTTCCTCTTCCTCCTTCTCCTCTTCCCACTGTTTCCTGTTCCTTCTCTTCCTCATCCTTGATTCCATTTACTTATAGATAGCGCCTCCCTATCGCACCCCCAGACGTGTCGGTAGGGCGGGCCAGGCGTTGTGCCTCAGACTTCCTCACCATATATGATCCTGAAGCTTAACATTTGCGAGAGCTTCATGGATGGAGGGCGGGCCGCTTTCCAAGTGTGAATTTCGCCTCAGCGCTGCGCACATTCACCTTGGAAATTTGCACGAGCTTCGCTGATGGAGGGCGGGCCGTTTTCAGAATGTGGCACACGCCTCAGCGCCGCGCACGTTCGACTTGAAATTTTGCACTAGCTTCACGGATAGAGGGCCGTTCGTTTTTAAAATGTGGATCCCGCCTCAGCGCCGCGCAGATTCGTCTGAAAAGATCGCGAGTGTTCCACGAATGGAGGGAGGCTCCTTTTCAAGATGCAGCTCTCGCGTCAGCGCCGCGCACATTCAGGGCCCAGCGGCTACCACTCCCAGCTTGTTGTACAATCAGGCACGCAGAAATTCAAGGGGGAGATCATATAATAGGATCCTCCCCTCTCTCTCCCTCCCTCCCTCCCTGCTCGTTTCTCGTCTGAAAAGTGTGCACGAGCCTCACGGATAAGAGGCGGGTCGGTTTCAAAAAGTGGCAGCCGCCCTAAAGCGCCGGGCGGATTCGTATCAAAAAAGACTGCAGGAGAATCGACGGGCGGAGGGCGATTCGTCTTCGAGATGTGGCTCCCGCCCTCCGTGGGATGCTTCGGGATGCTTGCAGCTCGTCGTGTACCACGTGGTTGCCTGTGCTTGTCGCGAACCACCCTTGGTTTCCACGGTGTACGTGCGCCTGTCTAACAGGCGCAGTAGTTGCCCGAGCGTGCACCAATTTGCTCGAAGCTCGTCGAAGCTTGTCCGTGCACCACGCAGGTTCGTCTTCAAATATTGCCAGAGTCTCATGGGTGGTGGACGGCTCTTTTCCAAAATGGGGTTCTCACCTTGGGGCCGCGCATTTTCGTCTCACAAGTGTACAGCCTGTCGACGGGTTCTCGTGGCTGACGTCCCAAGAATGGTGCTCGTGCACGGGTTGAGGTTGTCAGAGCGCAGCTGTTACTTTGATTCGCTGTGTTGAAATCCCAGGAAAGGTGTTCTTGCACGCTTCAGGACCGTCGGGACGCAACAGTACAGTTGAGTCGCGGCGTTGAAGTCCAAGGAATTGTGTTTCGGCGCGACTGAAAATTCGCATACGGTTGTCTTCCAACGGGGCACTTCCACCAGAGAGAATCAATTCTGGTAGGTACCTATGAAGAGGGATCTCGGAGGGCGGGTGTATTTCGACATAAATGATGCGCCTTGGGCTTACACGGCTCCACCTCCTCCTCCTCCGAAACGTGGTGCGTCGAACTCATGTTTTTCATGCTCGCCTTCCTCATCATCCTCCTTCCTCCTCCCCCTCCTCTTCCTCCTCCTCTTCTTCCTCATTTTTCTCTGGGCGCCTCCTCCTCCTCATCCTCATCCTCATCCTCCTCATCCTCATCACCACCACCATCACCACCCCCATAGTCATCATCATCAGCATCATCATCATCATCCGCAGCAGCAGCATCATCATCAGCAGCATCATCATCAGCAGCAGCAGCATGGTCACCGTCATTCTCCTCCATCTCCTCCCCCACATCATTCGACAGAGCCGCGAAGACATACATGGCTCACTCCTGGGGCTGCTCTGGTTGATCTACCACTTCGACCTGACGGGTTGCCCTCCGCCTGGCCCACTGCATGCTCCTACACTTCCCCGGTCAGGGTAACGCACCTGGGCATCGTTCCTGGATGAGCTGGTGGGGATCCGCGAAACGCCAATAATACCGCAGCCAAATTCATAGCTTTTTCGCTTGAACATTGCACCCGCGCTCGGCGCCACGCGTGCGCTCGGCGCCACGCGTGCGCTCGCCCCCGCCAGGCCTGCCGGAGCTGCACGCGCCATAGCGCACAATGGCGACGCTGCCTCAGTGCCGCGCAGGGAGTTGCGGAAGGTCTGCTTCCGCCTCGGCGCGGCCCACTGTCCACGTTGGCCATGCGGCGGGACGGCGCTCGTGCGCGAGCGCCGTCCGTTTAGCACTCCGCCTCCTCCTCCTCCTCCTCCTCCTCCTCCTCCTCCATCTCCTCCTCCTCCTCCTCCTCCTCCTCCTCCTCTTCTTCCTCCCTCCTCCTCCTCTTCCTCCCTCCTCCTCCTCCTCCTCCTCCTCCTCCTCCTCCTCCTCCTCCTCCTCCCTCCTCCTCCCCTCTCCTCACGTTTCCTCCTCCTCCTCCTCCTCCTCCTCCTCCTCCTCCTGCTCTTCCTGAGGCAATGAGGCAATGACGGCAACTGAGTTCTCCGAACGCTGCCGCTTCCCCCAGGAAGGCTCGGTCGGACCCCCCTGGGGAAAGAGACCAAAACACAAATATATGGTCCTCCCCCTCATCCTCCCCCTCCTCCTCCTCCTCCTCCTCCTCCTCCTCCTCCTCCCCCTCCCTCCCTCCCTCCCTCCCTCCCTCCCTCCCTCCCTCCCTCCCTCCCTCCCTCCTCCCTCCCTCCTCCTCCTCCTCTCCTCCTCCTCCTCCTCCTCCCCTCTCCTCTTCTCCTCCTCCTCCTCCTCCTCCTCCTCCTCCTCTCCTCCCTCTCCTCCTCCTCCTCCCTCCTCCTCCCTGCTCCTCCTGCTCCTCCCCCTCCTCCTCCCTCCCTCCTCCTCCCTCCTCCTCCCTCCTCCTCCCTCCTCTCCTCCTCCTCCCTCCCCCTCCCTCCTCCTCCCTCCTCCTCCTCCTCTCCCTCCTCCTCCCTCCTCCTCCCCCTCCTCCCTCCCTCCTCCCTCCTCCCTCCTCCTCCTCCTCCCTCCTCCCTCCTCCCCCTCCCTCCTCCCTCCTCCCTCCCCCTCCTCCCTCCTCCTCCTCCTTCCTCCCTCCTCCCTCCTTCCTCCTCCCTCTTCCTCTTCCGTCCTCCGTCCTCCCTCATCTTCCTCCTCTCCCTCCTCACCTCCTCCCTCCTCCCTCCTCCCTCCTCCCTCCTCCCTCCCTCCTGCCTCCTGCCTCCTGTTTCCTGCCTCATCCCTCCCCCCTCCTCCTCCCCCATCCATCCTCCTCCTCCTCCTCCTCCTCCGCCTCCTCCTCTTCCTCCTCCTCCTCCGCCTCCTCCTCCTCCGCCTCCTCCGCCGCCTCCTCCGCCTCCTCCTCGGTCGGTCGGTCGGGATTCGGGCTTGAATGTCACAAACGCACCCAATGCCAAGGAAAAGGAGCAGTGCACAGTGCATGGGGTCGATGCGACGACGGACATAATACGACGACACACGACCAGAAATTAGGGGTGAGTGCTTGTCTTCTCGGCGCCAACCCATTGAATCCCGCAAAGTCCGCCCCTAACTCTGGGCCCAAATAAGGGTCAAGTGGCACATAGAATTGACAATACTCGTTTTGCTCCCCTGTCTGTCTCACTCTCTCTCTCTCTCTCTCTCTCTCTCTCTCTCTCTCTCTCTCTCGTGCTACTATCCAACTCAGCAAAGAAAGAGGCGGCCAGAATTCTGCACATCCTCGCAGGATATGTCTTCGCATCGGACGTCCTCCACCTACCCTCGGTTGTTCTTCCTTCCAGTATCTGGTGGGGATGCCCACGATCACACCTGGCACGATTCGGCACAAGGCCGAGCAAAACCTTTAAAGACTCGCACCTGATGGCCATGAGGCAAGCTGGTTTCAAACATAGTGCACCCAACATGCACTGGCCAACCCTCACAACTTCCGCCTGTCTTCCACCAGTCGAGGCCAGGCGAATTACTTCTTCCAGCTTCCAAATACTCGGGGCAGCTGGTAGGTGCTCAGGGGGGCAGGGTGTTCAATTACCATGGGGGTATGCGTAAGATATGCCTTATATGAGAACATCAACGTGGTTCCCAAGAGCCTGCTACCTACTTGCAACTGCAAAAACTCATTGATTTTAAGCGCCCTCTTGCCCCATGGTCTCTCAGCCTCACGTAGAGGTCTGGGGGGTGCTGCATTCCTGGCACGACTCGATATCTGGCCGCTGACCATGTCTCACATGGCGGGCCAGCTGGAATCCCTACGACTCTGCCTGATGCGATCAGGCACATCCATTTGGCAACGATATCGTTGTTCCCCAAATCCCCTAGCCCTGCATCATGAACACTGTCAATACTCAAAACAAGCAGAAGGTATCTTCCCCCATCATCT